AATATTTAATTGTATTAAATTTTATAGTAAAAGATAATAAAATAATAAAAACAAAAATGCACAGAACATGATGGAAAGAATAAAAATGAAAACAATATCTGTTTCTTTCTCTCTCTTTGCTCTATGTGTAGAGCTGGAGTTGAGTAAGGTACAGCTGGTGCTATCTGAACCTCACACACAGTCTCCCAAATCCAAAGCGCTACGCACAGCTACAATGAGGCGGAGGAAACGGCCCCTGACGCACATGAGGCAGCAGCACCTGGATGAGGCGCTCAGCCCCGTCACCACACCTGAGGATGAGAAGAGTGTCATCCATCGCATCAAACACGTGGCAGGTGCGACATTAGCCAAAGACACTTTATGCATTATCTCTGGATAATAATGTTGTTTTGTTGTACTTTTTAAGTGCTCTCTCAGTGTTATTGATTATAATGTATGTGCTGTCGCAGGATCCACACAGACCAGACACATCCCAGACCATGGATCTGAAGGCCTGGCTCTCTACAGTGTTTCCAAACTCCTGCTTATAATCAGCTCTGTGTGAGTATTCTCAGTGGGAATTAAACAACAACAAACTTCTTTTCTCCACTCCTTTTCTCCCAAATTGCTCATTTTAGCACGTGCATCTCATTTATGAAGCAAGTTTCCTGTTATAAAATACAAGAATTTGATTTATACATACTGTAGCATGATACAAAAGTATAGAGTATGCCTTTTTAAAGTCTGAGGTCTGATTTCATTCTGATTAAACGTCATACTGTGTCAGTCTGTGTCAGATTAAAAGGTTTCTCCATTTCTTTCACATGTTTCATAGTGCCCGTATAAGTAGCTCTAACTGTTGATCAGCTGGAATTTGTTACAGTCTGTTGTTCTTTGGCTTCATGTCTTTTCTCTCTTCTGTTTTCATTACATCCTGCAGGATTTGTGTAAGGTATTCAATGCTTTCATCTGTATGAATGTTGATAGGCACCGATCCCGTGGGAAAAACTCGAGATATTCTCTATTCATATTGGCGAAACAGATCTGGCAAACTATCCAGTGCATATTTGTGTTTGCACTCTGGAGAGCGTCAAAAGGTTTCTGTTTACATCGTGCTTTTTTGCAGCGTTTAGCAATGTAGCCAATCACAGACCTACCTGTTGATTTCTTGAATGCAATTGCCAATCAGAGTTAAGTTAGAATCCACTCACCGCTCAAAACACCAGAGTTTTTGTACATTTCTAAGTTTCGGACGCTCACGAATCCTCTCATTACAGTATAACAAAACGTCATGAGATTGCGATGAACTAAGACAAGGGACAGCTTTTTAGTGACAATAAAAGGAGTGCTCATTGTGTGCTTTCTAGGCTATATATAATCCATTCAGAATTTGTTTAAAACTTTAGTTTTTCGGCCACATACACGCTGCAAAGTTTCGGGAATGACATTCACATATTTTATGCAGGATTCACACTCGAACGAGTAATGGATGGGACAAAAATACTGTATACGTGAACATGTTCATTGAGGCTAGAGCACACTCACTAATTTTTGAAGCACTTTCAGTATTTAACTCTGGAACCAGGCCTGGATAAATCTGTGTTTGAGAAGATATCATTATCCGTAGCTCATATTTAGGCGATCGCATGGAGATTTATGTGGCAGTAGACTATGCTTCAAAGTTGGAAAAATTAAAATTTGGTAATTTACTGGTAATTTAAAGTAAACATTAATGCACAGGGGCTTCATTGAATACTCCTTGCATTTGTTGATTTCATCTTATGTGTGGATTATTGGGTTTTATTTAGTGTGTACAGCTCTGATAAGTAATAAACAATGTGATAATGCGGCTGGCCAATGTTAACTTTATTTTAATAAAAACACAAAACATGGTTATGAAGCATGGCAGAAACATAAATCGGCGCCAATGATGAGCGTATAAATGCTGTCAAAACATTTTCAGTTGTACTGAGGTTTTTTTAATGTAGCTGATGTAGAGCGGTTTATGAGCTGATCTGAGTTTGTCCTCTTTTTTTCCTCAGCCTGGTGCTGCTGGTCTTTTTGAACATGATGCTGTTTTATAAGCTCTGGATGCTGGAATACACTGCTCAGGGTTTGACCTCCTGGCAGGGTTTCAGATCTCATGAAAGGTAACTAGATCCTTGAATGTGTTTATTTGTAACTTGTCCTGCACTATTTGTGCCACTCTGCAAAACACGATTTTAGTAATCTGTATTTTTGTTAGTTTTCTTACAACATCAATTTAATTGAGAAGCAGCATTGCATAAGATGGAAGTTCTTACTTCATTAAACACCTAACTCAGCATATATTCTCTAAAAGGTCTGATTATCTTCTTTATTTTTCAGATTTTGCTTTTAAGTCAGTTTTTCCTAGGAAAAAATACTGATTATTAAACACATTTTCAGCATTTGAACATGAATTGTACTTGTGGGAGGAATGTTTTTCGCTCTGTGTGTTGCAGTAAACTTCCAGAGACACAGATTGAATGGGCTCAACTTTTGGAATCTCAGCAGCGTTACCATGAAAATGAGCTGGAGAAATGGAGGGAAATAATAAAGTCGTCTGTGCTTTTGTTAGAGGAGGTAAGATAGAGTACACATTTGAAAAATTTGAAACTTTCATAACTGCAACATATTAATAAAACAATGTACAGTGTAAAACAATAAGGAATAAAGAAACTTAAAGGGATAGTTCACCCAAAAATTTCAATTCTGTCATCATTTACACATTTTCATGTCATTCTAAACCCATATGCCTTGCTTACTTCAGTGGACCCCAATAGGTGAAAACTGGAAGAAATAAGTGGTCCATATGGTTATATTCTAAATGTTTAGAATGAACTATTCCTTTAAACTGCAATCACTACAGGATTTCAAAGATGTATTTGTGTGTTTACAGATGAGAGAGTCTCTAATGAAGCTACAGAAAGGTATTGGGTTAAAAGACTACAATTCAGACAGTGAAGAAAGTCGCTATCACTGACAAACAGAGTCCCGGCTCAGCGAATGTGATGAACATCTCCACATGTAAGCGATCAGATGCGCTGAGCTGAGCTGGCATGGTAAGTGGGCGGCACTGACTGAATGGCTCTCACAGGCCAGCTGACAGCAGACACTGAAGGAAACCCAGTACTGTAAGTTCTCTGTCTTCTCCGTGATGAAAGAGATGGGGGAAAAAAGGAAAGCAGTCGCTTGATTGGTATTTTCATCCAGGGCTAAAACAAACTCAACCAAAACAATTCAACTGTAACTGCAAAATGGACACAGACTCTCTGGTTCAAACACTCGGAAACCTTCAGCAGATGTTGGAACTCGACAGCATCCCTTTTTTTAAACCTTTTGGAGTCTGGGACCAGATAAAGTAAATATGGAGTTGCTATCAGCAAGTGTTACGTGGACATGTACACATTTATTTATAAAAACAAAATATGGAATTGAATGATATTATGATGCACATGAAGACATATAATTTCTATGTAGAGCTATATTTGTTGCCAGAGTACATTTGTAACAGGTTTCCATGGAGAATCAAGGCTGGTTCCTTGAGGAGGTAAGATAGAGTACACGTTTGAAAAATTTGAAACTTTCATAACTGCAACATATTAATAAAACAATGTACAGTGTAAAACAATAAGGAATAAAGAAACTTAAAGGGATAGTTCACCCAAAAATTCTGTCATCATTTACACATTTTCATGTCATTCTAAACCCATATGCCTTGCTTACTTCAGTGGACCCCAATAGGTGAAAACTGGAAGAAATAAGTGGTCCATATGGTTATATTCTAAATGTTTAGAATGAACTATTCCTTTAAACTGCAATCACTACAGGATTTCAAAGATGTATTTGTGTGTTTACAGATGAGAGAGTCTCTAATGAAGCTACAGAAAGGTATTGGGTTAAAAGACTACAATTCAGACAGTGAAGAAAGTCGCTATCACTGACAAACAGAGTCCCGGCTCAGCGAATGTGATGAACATCTCCACATGTAAGCGATCAGATGCGCTGAGCTGAGCTGAGCTGAGCTGGCATGGTAAGTGGGCGGCACTGACTGAATGGCTCTCACAGGCCAGCTGACAGCAGACACTGAAGGAAACCCAGTACTGTAAGTTCTCTGTCTTCTCCGTGATGAAAGAGATGGGGGAAAAAAGGAAAGCAGTCGCTTGATTGGTATTTTCATCCAGGGCTAAAACAAACTCAACCAAAACAATTCAACTGTAACTGCAAAATGGACACAGACTCTCTGGTTCAAACACTCGGAAACCTTCAGCAGATGTTGGAACTCGACAGCATCCCTTTTTTTAAACCTTTTGGAGTCTGGGACCAGATAAAGTAAATATGGAGTTGCTATCAGCAAGTGTTACGTGGACATGTACACATTTATTTATAAAAACAAAATATGGAATTGAATGATATTATGATGCACATGAAGACATATAATTTCTATGTAGAGCTATATTTGTTGCCAGAGTACATTTGTAACAGGTTTCCATGGAGAATCAAGGCTGGTTCCTTGATAGCTTGCGCCATGGTGCATCAACTATATGCAACTGGTTTATCCTCCCCTGTTTGGAGGAACGACTTCTTCTGATTGGTTGATTTGCAATGGCGAAAGAGCCACGGTCACTAAGGTTGAACGGTAGAATCATATACCATATACTTTGTTCCCAAAGTTTCAGGAATGATTCTGCATATTTATACAGGATTCTCTCTCGAAATAGCACTGATTGACAAAGTGATAACCATAGCAATGGATGGGTCAAAAATATATTAAGGCTAGATCAAGCTAACTCCAGAAGCACTCTCAGTGATCTAATTCTGGAACTGGGTCTGGTGCAGAGTAAACTATAAGAAACACTGTGGCTCTGTGGTGCTATCAAAACATCCCAACCATCTTGGCTCAAACAATAGCGTGAGTTTGGGGCGGGACCCAAAGTTTTATTTAAAAAGATGATTGCTAACAAGTGGCTAAATGGGACTACAGAGGTTGTTAGGCAATGAAAAGCAAAATCCATCTTTTACATTTTTATGTAAAGACGAATCACAATCAAAGTTGTGATCACTTTTGAAGACTATCATGATCGTAGACTTTTGGTCACAGGGCTTATTTTCTGCAATAAAGCCAATGGAAAAAATCCTTTTGGGTTTTTGGCGAGGGAATCAGGGTGATGCTAACTTTTGTCCTGCAAAAATGAATCACTTCAGCGCTCTGTTGTGAGGAAGTGTATGGAAATTGGGATGCAGCCATCAAGTCAACCAAACCTCTCATGCAGTAACGGTTGTGGAATATTAGTGGTTAACTACAGCAGGTCCACTCCAGCCAATAGCATCCATTCATTTGTGAATGAGTTATTGTTACATGAATGTGTTTCTGTTCTCCCTCAGGGTTCATTTATATCCTGCGGGCAGCTGTACACAAGTATATATTGCCAAGCTTTGATTTTAAAGCCATTCCATGATTTTTTTTTCATGTTGTTTTTGTGTTTTGATGCTGAACCAGCTGCTGGACGGGTGAGAGATGCACATTGGTCATGTGATGTGAGAAAGTATGGTTTTATTAGTGTAGTAGAGCTGGAGAGAAATTTATCTTAAAGTGTTCTTACAGAAAGACCAGCAGCTGGTGTGTTAAGACGGAACTGTGAAAAATCCAGGTTATGCTTGAATTTATAAAGAGAAACTGTTTAGAAATGTACATAATAAAAAATCAACCTCATAAAAAAGGTTAGCTCTAACCTCTTGAGGTGTCATACGCAAAAACATTTCTCATACAAACTCCCACACACAAGTACAGGAGTCGATGGTTTTTATAGTTGGAGCTACAGTCCTAGAGTGGCCTCTATTGATATTGAGCCATTGGTGCTCATGTGGGCGACATGGGTTCGAGTCTAGCTTGTTTTAATTCCCAATCCTGTTCCCTCCTTTTCCTCCTCATTAAGAATAGTTCAACAGGCCAAAAATAAAATTAGAAATGTATTTAATTGGTTTGATCTATTTCTAAGCAGCAATTTCACAATCAATCTAAAGTTTTAATTTGTATATTTCAATATCAGGTGTTTTTTGTGGAGTCTTCCACTAGTTTCTGATTGGTGTAGATTGTTTTTAGTCCTTTAGTATCCATCATTGTTTAAACCAATGTATGAACTAATGAAAAGGGACGGCTGATTGCTGTCTTATGTGATGTGAAACTGTCTCAGATGGACTGGTCTAATGTGGTCACTATGAGCCAGTCCAATTTATTCAAAGCAAATGGATCTTAGATGATCATTTTGTCCTGTGAGATTCTAGGTACGTGTGTTTCGGAGCCTCTGCAACCCCCTGTTGGCTTGAGTGGCAGACCCCTTATCCTACTTTAAGCATCAATGGCAATTAGAAAATAGTAGATAACTAAAAATGTCATCTGCAGGCTGTAGTGCTCAGCTTGCACTGTTCATGCTAGGGGGTCAGTTAGCTTTTAAGGGCAGCCCACACACAAAATATATTTTTCTTGATACTTATGATCATAGGAATCAATCCAGGAAAGGGACTACAATTCAGTCACGTCTGTATTCATCCTCATAGTCGTTAAAGCAAAATGCAGTATTAAATGTGCAATGCCTGTTCAAGTAGAGTGTGTAAGTACTGCTTAAACTCCACATGAACCATCTGTGTGAATGTATTTTCTAGCTGAAAGACGATCCTTCATTTGGACATAACCTGCTGGGTTTGGAAGCACGGGTGATTTAGAAGGCATAATGTCTTTGATGTCAAGCATTGGGAGGCCACAGCAATGGTGCCATATTGCTCACTGTCAGGCCCTAAAAGTATTATTTTTCAAGTTCTGCTGACAATATTATTTTGTACTGTAGCCTATGTGCACAGACAGGATGGTTGCTTTCCTATGGCCATGACTGTTATGGTCTAGAGATAGATGGGAAATTCATGTATGATGTTTATTTAAAGGTCATGTCAAAGCCAGGAGCAAAACACTGAGGTAAAAACACACCGGGTTGTTTTTATGTTTATTTTATTTTTCCTGAAACATTGAAACAAAAAAAGAATATGACTTGTAATTACAACAGTGAGGTTTTTATTTTAATTATTTAAAATTTTCTTTACAAATGTATATACACACAATTATACTGCAATGTATGTATATGTTGTGTACAGTGCACACCCTACATGCGCTGGCTGCACTGTAGGATGCCTGAAAACCTTTCAGAAACATAAATAAATAACTATACAATTTGTGTTGTCAAGAATAGGTGGAATGAATAAAAGTATTTAAAAGAGATTTTTATTGCATTTCTTATCACTTGCTACATTTTCTGAATTTTAACTTTATTTTTTATTATTTTTTTCCTCAACAATATTTATACACACAATAAAGTGTGGAAGACAATCATAAAATATATAAAATGGACTATTAACATAAAATTTGTATTGCTTGAATTCTGTTAGTGTTTGTCTCCACCTTGTGGCTGTGGCACATACTGTACATTTTTAAAATACATTTTAGTAGGATTAATCTGTGTAAACTACTAATTTACCCCAAAGCCAAAAGTGTCCCAATTTACCTGAATTAACTCTACATTTAAGATCCGAAAGTGGTACTCCCTTTATCCCATAATGTTTTAATGAATAATTATTTAATTGTAATTTATCTACGAAGATGACTTTCGAAGACATCGAAGGTAAATTGCAGTAATTGCTCATTTAGAGACATGCTCTGCTTGGAGATCTCTAGGGCCTTTTCTTCTAAATGCCCCAATTAATCTCAGTTTTTCAGGGAGAAAAATTCCTTCGAGACTCACCAACATGACCCATATAATTGATGAAAAGAACAAAGAAAGGTTCCTACAGATGATAAAAGTTCACTGTGTAAAACAACACTAAGGTAAGTAAATATCAACTTGTAATTTATGAGCAGAGAAAGGCAAATCAAGTGGGCAAAAGGTTTACGTTCTCCATATTTCACCGCCAGATATTTTAGCCAATACATATTTATTAAAATTAGTGACATTCAAACAATCATTCGTGTCAGAACACACGTGTCAGTACTTTGCTTTTCATTAAAATAAATGAAAATATCGTTAAACCCAGTGTCAGAAATAAAGAATGAGAATGTGACGTAACGCCGCGTTGAGTTCTGTGAAACTGCTTTGTTTATCCGCCATACTTGCAGGATAGCGCTGCCGTTCCGCTATTGAGTTTAGGGCAGTATTTGATTGTTTGTCGTGATTGTGAAAAATGTCACCAGTGTATGTCATTCATGCTGCATCGATAATTGCAATAGTAACTCCGATCATCGTTCTGAGAGAAAAATGGACAATGCTATATGTTTTTTCGCCTTATGTGTAAAAACACCAAGGGAAGGAGGTCGCGGAGAAGACGCCGAATAGTAAATCTGTTAATGTCACTGATTAAACCCACTGACTCTCACTCAATAAAAGAATCACATTGCTGTGGTTTTTTTTAAAGTTTTGATTTGGTTGGTTTAAAAGTTAACATTACCTTATTTGCGAGCATGACTCTCACTAGGCTTGTGAATTAGCAGAACTTGAACAGGGAAATTTCTAAAATGCTTAAAGTGGGTTAATGTACCAAGACAGTGATAAAGACAAAATTGTAAAGCATATACTATGTGCAGATATGCATATAAGATCAAAATGTGAACTCAACGCGTTTATTTAAGTATTTTCCTCTCATATAAAGAACGCGCTTAATGCACCGAGACAGTGATATTTAAATACCACATTCTGTACACACATCTTACTAATAAAGCATAATATGTGTGGAAAAACAGATGAGTCCAAAGTATGAACTTTAGAAATCGCTGTCTCAATCCAGAAGCGCTTTCTAGATTACAGTTTTCTAAAGAGAGGAAAACGCTTTACGTTTAAACATGTCGCGTTAATATTCTGGCTCATCTGCATGTCTTTTAGCATCACTGTCTTAAGCACATTAAACCAGCATTTGAAAATGCTACAAAACTTTCCCCAAGCTCCTAGGGATTTGATTTAGTTTGTCATTTGTTGAAATAAATATAAAAAGTACAGTGAGTTCGTGACTGTTCGCTGAATGTGACCCACAATCTGTGATTCTCCTCCGTGGCCATGGAAAAATGAATATTTATAATGACAACACTTACTTTGTCATTTAAAAGTTTCCAACAAAGAAATGGATCGACTTCTGTCAGCTTGTTGAACACACTTTTATTTGGATAATGTACCGTATGATGACTGAAGCAGCAGCGAGCGTCCAGCGGGCGACACGGGTTTCACGCTAATCGGGTAAACACTGTAAAACAAATTCTATCAAACCTAAGAGAGAAATGCAGTGCATATCATGCAGTGCGATCAAATAGCTTCTCTTCCCTGCAAACGATACAATGAAGAATGAATGGTTGTTTAACTTAAAGGCAAAAACAAAACAAAAGAGAAGCATTTATCCTTATAGAGAATGAGAAGTAACCATGGGAACGGATAGCTTATCCTGCTAATATGGCGGCGCCTTCCCGAAATGCAATGCGGAGTGAAAAGATCGTGACGTAACTCCTCATTCTGTATTAACCAGGGGGGGAGAAATCCCTCATATTTAAAATTAAAATAAAAATAAATAATAATTCCTCTTTTCCCCCCTCTCGTTTGCACTTATGAAGGTAACACTAAAAATGACAACATGGACAAACTAACGCTATTGGTCAGTTGATAGTGTGTTTTTGACCCTTTTGGCCTTCCATATAGTGGTCGCGTCGCGTCGCGTCGCGTCGCTCGCCTGCAGTCAAAGCGTTGATGAACACCCGCCCATGACTGCCGATCTCCTCCTTTTCCAGGAAGTAAAAAACGCGTCAAATAAGGAGGAACAAGGGGAAACGCGTCCTCCTCACATCAGTCCCCTTCCCTCATTAATGCGTTAATCACATTAATGTTTTAGATGGTCGTGTGACGCAGCTGTATGATGTCCATTAGAGCGCGAAACAGAGAGATCTGCGCGGACTGTAGCGCGCACGGTAAGACAAACAAAACAAACGCAGATGAGATCCTGCAGGGTTTTATCCAGACAGATGTGTAGAAACGGAATTTATTTGAGATTATTCTCAAGCAAACGCAGTAATAATCCTCAGGGATTACATGGCTATCGGTGTCTGAATAAAACAGCGCGGTGGTTAAAGAACAATCCCGATATTCCCACAGGAGAATAGAATACCGCTAACCGATTAAGTTCAGGCCCTCGTTTAAAAAACTAATTTTTACATTCAGATCAACCAACAAATTGTAGTTTCTCAATTTCTACTGCGAAGTAAAACCACAAAATCTTTATTTTAATGAGAAGGGAAGACGTTTAAAAAATATAGAAACCAGTTTCCATTAAAATATCTAGTTACTATTGTCGTAACAGTTATTGTTATTATAATAAAACATACAATTTAAATAACTTGGTTATGGACAAGTTGTTATTAAAAAAGGGGGGGAAATGTAGTCCAATACATTAGCCAATTCACTTTTTTAAAACAGCTAATACCTACACAGATTGTTTTTTAAATTATTATTATTATTATTTAGCGTTCTGATAGTCATTATGAAAAACTGGTTATTTGTTTTAGTTTCATTTGATATATTTTGACAAGAAAAACTATTAAAAAAATCATCCGCGGCAATAAAAACACATTAAGTATACTTTCTTGTTAATAATAATTATTAACTATTATTATTTTTTGAACTATTATATGCTCTTATATTTATATAGCATTGTTTGCAATCCAACTGGTCTAAATGATCTACATAAATTGAATCTATATTTTGGTCTATATCTGACTGTTAAAATGCTATTTGTTGCTCACCTGAGAATAAATGTAAAAATCTGAGTTATTATGTAAATAATGCATTAAATAAGTTACTGTACTTCTTGTATTTTATTGACAGCAGCACTTGAATCCTAATGATAATGTATTATTTGTGAATGTGTTGTGCGTCAATGGAAACGAGCACATCTGTCCATTTGTAGAAAAGAGTCACATGTATAAAGATAAATGTATGGCAACTTGTTGCTCAAACAAGTTGTAAGGGTCATTATGAGACTAAAGGAAGCATGTCTAGAAAACTGGCTTTTGAGGGGAATTTGTAACTGAGTTGTGCAATACTTCATGACTCGCAACGCTTTTCTTTCTCCCTCTCAGATGCTCGTTGGGCCTCGATCAATCGCGGAGTTCTGATCTGTGACGAATGCTGCAGTATTCACCGAGGTCTGGGCCGCCACAGTTCTCAGGTCCGGCACTTGACCCAAACTCTGTGGCCCCCCTCACATCTCCAGGTTAGCTTTGCTTTTCCTGAGGTTCATTAAAAGGAAATGAGGCGCTGTATCTTAGTTCCTCAGACAAGAGTAGAACACCGCAGTCTGCACAGCTTCCCATTCTAGCTTTGTTTGTACGCACCACACTACAAGATAAAGTCAGTGCACATCACGTCCATCTTAAATCTTGAATTACCAGAAGAGCTAAACAAGTCATACTGCATTAGGCTAAATTCAGACCTGTGGTTAATTCTGTAAGCTGCCGCAACATCCGTCTCGAAACTTCTCATGTGTCTGATGTTGGAGTCACGTTTTCTGTCTCAAAGAGGAAGTTGAGGTGAAGTGTTTGGTGTTTATCCTCAGATGGTGAAGTCCCTGTACAATAATGGAGCGAATTCAATTTGGGAACACAGTCTTCTGGATCCATCTTCCATCATGAGTGGAAAACGTAAAGCCAATCCTCAGGACAGAGTCCAGTGAGTCCCATATATCGTGACGTTTAGAACCAAGCAAATCTCTCAGCATAAACATGCTCACTTTGTTGTTTATCTTCTCTCTCAGTCCCAACAAAACAGATTTCATAAAGGCTAAATATCAAATGCTGGCATTTGTTCATCGAATGCCGTGTCGTGAAGATGATAGCGTTACAGCCATAGACCTCAGCAAGGTAATGTAGTAGTAATAATAATAATAATAATGACATGAGTGGACAAGAACCTCTGAGATGAAACTGAGATTCAAACAAGGCATATCAAAGATCTACGTCTGATGTGATCTTCAAGTTCTTGAGACCAAAACCACCAAATAAACCATGAATTCACCCTTTTTTTTTTTTTTTGCAGCAACTACACTCTAGCGTTCGAACCGGCAATTTGGAAACGTGTCTGAGGCTGTTGTCGTTGGGAGCACAGGCTAACTTTTTCCATCCAGTAAGTTTTAAAGCTACTGCGACATTTGCTGTTCTAGGTAATGTCATATTAAAACAACGTATTAAAAACAATAACTATACCAACACTGAAACTGAAAAAAAAAAAAATCTCTGAATCTGAGCATAGTTGATGATATCTGATTTCAGAACTCAATTTTGACCAAATGTGTTCTGCATGACAGTGTATATAGATATCTTTGTGTCGATCCACTGCTAAGGTTGAATAAGGTTTCATTGTTTTGCCTTTTCTATTTAATGGATGCGCTCCATAGCAGGTATTTAGCTGTATTGTCCTTAACTGAATTATTCCAGTGAATGCCACGTCATTTGCTTTCTTCAGGAGAAAGGAAATACTCCATTACATGTGGCCGCTAAAGCAGGCCAGCCGCTACAGGCAGAGCTACTCACTGTGTATGGAGCAGATCCCGGAGCACCAGACAGTTCTGGGAATACTCCTATTGACTTTGCCAGGTGAGAGAGAAGCAGATCTGAGGGATCAATACAAAGATTCAATTATATGTAGCTAGAAGTTTTCAATTATGTTTAATGTTCTGTGATCTGTTATGTCCTACTATAGGCAGGCAGGACACCAGGAACTTGCAGACAGACTGGTGGAGATCCAGTATGAGCTGACAGATAGACTTGCGTTCTATCTGTGTGGAAGAAAGCCAGGTCAGTATCTCCGTAAAACAGTACAGCATGTACCTTAAAGATTTGAGAGCCTGAAAAGACTGTTTTTTGTTTTGTTTGTTTGTTTTCTCAGATCATAAAAATGGTCAACACTTTATAATTCCTCAGATAGCAGACAGGTAGGATAAGCTCGCTTTTGTATCACACCTGTCCTTAATCTGTTTTTGATTAAAATACTTAATTGTAGAATTTGTTTTCTTTGCTGGCTTCATATGGATAAGAAATGAGTAAGTATGGAAGTAGAACCTGTTTGTCTTGCTAGACTAACTTATGATCAGATGATAACAGCTGTCTTAATTTTATTTTACATACAGCAGTCTTGACTTGTCAGAATTGGCCAAAGCAGCAAAGAAGAAGCTTCAATCAGTAAGTTGTACAGTAGTTTGCTGGGTTTTTTTTGTTTTTGTTTTTGTAAAGTTGAACCTGAGTTTGTCTTCACACATTCTAGGTTGTTTATCCAATATCTTTTTGACACCTGAGATTTGCTGTTTGTATAATAACCTTGTTGTGCTGCTCTCAGCTCAGTAATCATCAGTTTGAAGAACTAGCTATGGATGTTTATGATGAAGTTGACAGAAGAGAAACAGATGCAGGTTAGAAGTGTAATATCCTGATCTCTGCCCATTATTCCCCTCAAAGTACTTATCCTGATTTTATCCTAACATTTTGAATGGTGTCATTCTTTTGCGATTATAGTCTGGCTTGCGACTCAGAACCACAGCACCTTGGTAACTGACACCACGGTGGTACCTTTCCTCCCTGTCAACCCTGAATATTCTTCCACTAGGAATCAGGTACATTGACAAAGATGCGTACTCGCCTTCTAAAATGGAGTTGGTTTGATAATGTTTGAGTTTCCTTCTGTTCGTGGTGTTTGTTGCAGGGACGTCAGAAGCTTGCAAGGTTTAATGCACATGAGTTTGCAATGCTGGTTGTTGATATTTTAACTGATGCCAAGCGCCGTCAACAAGGAAATACTCCTGATAATTTCAAAGGTGATGAAGGGGGGTTTTGGGTTTTTCTTTTATCATGAACCGTATAATGCATAAAGCTCAACTTCCACCCTTTGTTTCTGTCCAGATAATGTAGAGTTAATTCTGAAGGACATTGGGAACCGTCATGGCAGTGAAAGTTCTGAGATGGATCAGCCTGATTATGACAGTGTGGCATCCGATGAGGATACTGAGCAAGAACTAACATCTGGAAAAGATGAGCGGACCAAGGTACATCAGGAGTTCCTCTGGGTGTGTAATTGTGCGTGGGACCAAATTTTAACTGTGATCTCTCCTCTCAGAGCTCAGAGTCCTCAGACTTGTCGGACAGCCCCATCACTGTGCAGGAGTTCATGGAAGTGAAAAGTGCCCTCACCACCTCTGAAGCAAAGATCCAGCAGCTCCTCAAGGTCAACTGCCATCTTAGTGAGGAGTTGAGACTCATGCAGAGCAAGGTAAGCAGTCAGATCACACCTCAACATGATTTTAAAAATCAAGTTTTAATTTTTTTGTCATCTCGCCCAGCCCTACTTAACACTCCCATCTTTGCTCCAAATGCCTGACTCTGCTTGGCGCCTTTGTTTCAGTTGAACTCCCTCCAGAATGAGAACAGCACTCTGAAATGGCATACACCTAACAGTTTGGCAAGGCCGCAGGACCTCCCGCACAGGGCACCTCCACGTGGCTGTAGGGCCATGTCGATGTATGAGACTGGCTCGGGTCTGAGGCAGTACCTCCCTAGAGGAGAGACCATCTGCCCTGACACAACCTTGACTCTTCAACCACTGCCATCAAATGTAAGTACAAACCAAATCCGGAATTGGTTGCAGCACTCCTGTTTCATTATTCTCTTGGTTTTAACTCATTTAGTAACCCAGTGAATCGTCACTTCAGGTATGCTTTTGATAGCCCCTATTCTCTTTTTGTGCATTCATATAAAAAAAAAAAATCCCTTTGCCCACTCAAAACATAATCTGAACCCTTTTTAGATTGGGAAGGGTCCCCCGGTGACTGCCTTCTCCTCCCTTCCCACGTTCCCCTCAACTCTGTCCTGGTCCTGGGATGAGATAACCCAAAGGGTGAAGTACCTGCTCAGTGAACAGGCTGTTGAAAGGGCTCCTCTTTTATCTGTCCCCCATTCACTCTGTGCATGAACCACCGATCTATCCAACCAATGGACAACTTGTCCCTCTGCTGGACTACTAACGTTAAACCGTACACACTACAAGAGACGCCAGCCATTAACATTACTCACAACTCTGCTTGATGTGTAAAGCAGTCACTGGCTCTCTGATATCTCAGACCCAAAACATACTCTATGCAAGTACGTAAATGCAGATGTTTCTAGCTACACAAGTTTGATGTTGTCCATCGTTTTGAAATGTATCAGAATGTAATCCAAGCATTTACATTTTATGTTTTGGCAGATGCTTTCATCCGAATCAACTTGGATTAAATTTTTTTTCATTCATTCATAATCAGTTGAACCCATGACCTTGGTGTTGATGGTGCAATGCTTTGTCTTCTTTAGTTAAAGGTCAACTGCTGTCATGGCGAAGCAATGGTTTGAAGAGTCTTATTGAGCAAGTTAGTTAAACTGTTAACATGTTTATAGCTAGCTATTTGAATAATAAGGCAGACCAGATAAATAATGCAGATGTTTGACGGTAACTCTATCACCCCCTTGTGTTTTGAGGGTTTGTTACTGGATTGGTAATGCGAGAACATGTTAAGTATTTATTTACAACATGGTGACCAAGCATCTGCGTGTGACTGCTTGCGTGGAGTATATTTCTGGTTTACAGCTCTGTTATGCTGAGGTTTTGATTCTACACCAAAAGCATGATGCTGTGTCTTCAAGCTTTGAGTGAGCACCAGTTGTCAGTAACAGGTAGCATCCCTTGTTTCTGCAGAAAGCTCACTGTGACTCTATTCCTGTTACAGGGATCCACATTAAACGCCCAGAGCAGCATGCCAGAAAGTGACTATGATAATGCACTGAACCACATTGAGATGGACGAGTCTGGGTTTGTCTTGGACCTCTTGTTTTAAAAACTATATATATATATATATATTAGTATCTCACAGAATATTTTATTATATCTTTTCATGTGACAACACTGAAGAAATGACACTTTGCTACAATGTAAAGTAGTGAGTGCTCAGCTTGTATAACAGTGTAAATTTGCTGTCCCCTCAAAATAACTCAACACAGCCAGTAATGTCTAAACCGCTGGCCACAAAAGTGAGTACACCCCTAAGTGAAAATGTCCAAATTGGGCCCAATTAGCCATTTTCTCTCCCCGGTGTCATGTGACTCATTAGTGTTACAAGGTCTCAGGTGTGAATGGGGAGCAGGTGTGTTAAATTTGGTGTTATCGCTCTCACGCTCTCATACTGGTTACTGGAAGTTCAACATGGCACCTCATGGCAAAGAACTCTCTGAGGATCTGAAAAAAAGAATTGTTGCTCTACATAAGATGGCGTAGGCTATAAGAAGATTGCCAAGATTATTATTTTTTTTTTTCCAATGATTATTATTCATTTTTTTTTCATTATTATTTTTACACCGAACCCTTCCACTTTCCCCACAGGTCAATGCAGAGTAATTTCTCCAGGACGAGCGTCTGGCCTGGCGATGGTACAGTGCTGCAGTCAGAAAACCCATCTGAGGGCGAGTGTGACTCGTCTCTTCCGTGCACAGAGGACGTCATCAGCAAAACGGAGCTGATCACTAAGAACATCCAGGAATTACTCAGAGCTGCGCAAGAGAATAAACATGAGAGGTAAGAAAATTAGTCTGGCCTTTGTGTGGCCACAGCATGGGTAGGTTTATTGGCATAAAATGGGTGAAAGGACCCAGTCTCCAGTCGGAAACTCCAATGGCGTTCAGCCCTGGGGACACAGTGTCTCCTTTGTCTGTTAAGCAAGTGATGGGATTGTGTCAACACAGCTGGGATATAACAACACATGACCAAGATGGAAGGATGCATATGTAGATTCACAAATGGCACGTGCTTTGTTTCTTTTTTGCTGAGTTTACAGCATGCAGTATGTTCAGTATTCACATAAGTATCAGAAACATTTATTTGGATCCGGTATTCTGAACACTGACTGAGCCTTTGCTTCTTGACTTGTGCTGGTTTTCAGTCTCTGGTCAGTGCAGATCATTATGCATTCATGGGAGAACGATACGATAGGTTAGCATTTCACTCACCCAGATCTGCACTTCAGCTCTCCTTTCACAGTGTAAAAGAAAGTCACTGTGTGGTTGCTGTGTTGTTCTTGGTGGTTTTTACCACCAAGAACCACTAATTATTAAAAATGGCTTTTCTTACCCTTGTTTTAAATTTGTTTTTCTAAATGTGATGGATGCTTGGACCATTTTGTGATTTTTGGTTTCTTTATTCAAGGCTGAACTGTGAGCCGTAGTGTGAATCAAGCTTTTGTGTGGATGATTAGATGCATATTTGGTTCTACTTCTCCACATTTTTACAAATTTTTTGTAATCACAATTTAAAATAATATTTTAAAATGGTAATATCCGAGTAAGAATTTTAAATGACCCTTTTTATCAATCTAATCGATGAACAAAAATAAAATTAATTGTATTTCTTTGTCGAAGCTTCGTTACGTGTTCAGAGAGAATTCTCGTAGCAGTGACAGAAATGGCTACGTTATTCCCCAAGGTAAGCCTTGAGCCAACAAGGAAACTTTGCCTTAATGGAGAATATATCTATTTATATCCTTGTCTAATATTTTTGCATCCATAGCAAGCACTAAATGGTTAATAAGGTTCTGAAATTGTTTTCCATCATAGAGGCCATCCTCTGAGACTGTTCGTGGGTCCTTGCGCCTCTTGACCTCCAGTGCCAGCCGTCTGCAGGGCGAATGTCAAAAAGCCACATCACACGACTCCCAGCAGGTTATTCAGTGTGCCTACGACATTGCCAAGGCGGCTAAACAGCTAGTTACTGTGACTACCAAAGACAGTAACTGAGTTACAGTACAAGTGAGCGCCTTTACTCTTTAATGTTTCACCATGTATTTTTATTTGCTATTATATTGTCCAGTATTATTGATGATCAACACAGCACAATTTGGTTTGTATTTCTGCAAATAATGAATTGCTTTTGAAGTGTATGCATACGTACACTAACATAACTTTTGGGGCACTAAGTCTTGATGATCAACGCCCTGTATTTTTTTTATTTTTTTGTCGTAGCTTTATGGTACCATTTTTAAATGTAAACTAATATTTGTTTTGCTTCCTATGGTGCTAATTAACTAATTTGTTATGTCTGTATTGCTCCTGTTTTTTGGATAAACAGAATAAGGCCTTTACTCATTTAATACCTGCACATTTCAAATATACCACAAAGTTTAAGTGAGACTAAACCTGACATCATAAATGGCTGTTATTGCTGAAATTCAGCTGGTGTATTAAGTGTTTCTTTGTCTTGAAACCCAGCTCTCTCAAAATGTGACCGTAATGTAGATGTCAGGACACACAATGCCTCATTTCTTGTGCAATAAGCCTTGCTGCAAAATCATACCTTACCTGTCCTGGTGTTACCATTGTATTAAGTTTTCAGCGTGTATAGTCTTATTATGGAGCGCTTTAGTATTTGAGCTGTTATACCTCACTTGTATGTGTGTGCTTGGGTGTCTGTTATACACCTTTAATATATAGTCACTCACAGATGCAGACATGTCGCTCCTGATTTTAAGATGTCATGTTTGTAATTTTTCACTATAGTGTTCTCTTTTCCTATCCAGTCCAAATGTTCTCCATTTTAGTTTGTGCTCTTTGCAGTTTAATCTTGAAGGTTTTCATTCATCCAGGTCATCAGAGAATGTCAGTTTATTCATAGACAACTGCAAAATGAAGTCCTGTTGCTATGAATTCAATCCGCCTGATGTTTTAGGGATGCTCTTGTGTTAATTTGCATGTCCAAAGGATGTGTTCATGTGCTGCCTTGTCTGAAATAATACAAATAACACACACAATTGCCTAACGGCCACCAGCTGCTGTGTTAGTGATTCCGGTATTATGTGGTATCGCTTTGTATGATTCAGTACATGTATTATATGTGTATATACAACTTATATATGTAAGCTGCTAGTTGTCAGTCATGTATGCAACTAATCTGGTGCGAGTTTGTCCTAGTATTTCCAGCTCTAATATCTGCCGGATATGTACACATGCACTTACCTGCTCAGTTCAAGAAGGTCCCGTTGGCCTTCATATGGGATATGCATCATGCAGTTGATGCTGCTTCAATGAAAGTCTTGTTACTGAATATAATAAATTGTATCTGTATTCAAGCTAAAATGTGTCATTTTTAAAAGACCTTATATTTTACTGAATGCAAGTTGTCACATATATTATAACATTTTAGTTTATATATATATATATATATATATATATATATGTGTAATTGTTTAAAAGTCTACATCTTTCCAGGAAGAGTATTTAAATGCTGGAATGATTTATTAAAGTGGCTTCACTGAACTCACTTCGGTCTTGCGTTTCCTCAGTCGGTCACTTTGTTAGTGCTTCTTCACACCTGTTGAATATCTTTTTCACGATACCACGGACGAATTGAAAATAGAAACGAAGCGTCACGCAATTAAAAGCCATACCATTTTCAACGACTTACATTTTATTTCGATGATTTGCGATGGCACTTTTGCTGGATCAGCCGTTTGCGCCGATGCCTGACAACAACGAGATCACGACGAAAACATTTCTGGAGTCAGTTTCTCATCTGCCACCTTTTTTCGGTGAGTCGTGAACTTCATGTGATTTCATTATCAGAAGTTACGAAAAGTATGTGTGTTTTAATTATTTTAAGGCCTGTAGATTAAAGATAGATGAACTAAGTTGAGTTTTAAACAAACAAAGGACTGGAATCAGCAGTGCAAGCGTTTAGAACAGCAAATCTTTTTCTCCATGCCATTGCCTTTCACATTTGACATGTTTATTGGTCTTCTGAATGTATGAATTTTTCAAACCGGTGTAGTAAACAACAAAGAGGTCATTAAATATTGAGAGGACAGAACGGATACCGTTGTGTTCCCGCAGCGACTGGTCCTCTCTTTTTCAACCACACGGTGGCGACAAATGACCATGTTTCAGGGTCAGAAATTAACCTGGGCAAAATGTCCCACATTTTTTAAATGTGGGTACAAAAATGTTGCTGTAGTTAATTCCAGTTATTTAATGTTTGATTGTCAAAGTATTTTATTCTAGGCTTGTCTAGTTATAGTTTTAGTATAGAGCTAGTATTGGTAGTTAACTGGGTGAACCGTTTACAATAAATGTTTCCCTTGATGGCTACAACTTTAATGGTAAGTATAGCACTTCAACATAGATGCTCTTCCTGCAGTTCTTTACCGTTTTTTTGTTATTTATTAATTTTATTGTTTATTTTTTATTGTTTATTATTTACAAATAAATAAATAAAAATACCTAGTTATTTCTCAATGCGTATTGATTTGAATCTTTTAATGTATTCTTTCTTTTTCTTTAGGTAACACTCCATTCCCTCTATAATGGTGGGAAATCTGTATATAAAAAAAGTGTTTCATGAAATTATTTTTCAGATTGCCTTGGTTCCAAGGTTTTTGCACCGATTAAGGCTGACATAAATGGAAACATCACAGTAAGTCTCAGAACTAAGTCATATATTATTCATGTTTTTTAAAGGTTTGTTTCTATCAAATTCCTTTGAAAATGTATTGAAACTTTTTTCTGAATTTCTCCCAATTCTCCCAAGAAAATTAAAGCTGTCTATGACTCGGATCCAGTGAAGTATGAGACTCTTCAGCAGATTCTGCTAATTGAGAAAAGCATCTATGGCTCCGAGTGGCCTAAAGTCGGAGCCACACTGGCGCTTATGTGGTTAAAGAGGTCATTTGTTCACCTAGTCACACTTTCTGCATGTCTTTTGTCCAAAATATAACGGCTACAATTTCCCTTTTATAGGGATGTCTCTTCCATGTTCAGATCTTTTCTTTAAAACAATTAAAAAATGCTTACAACAAATCAAATTATTAGAAACTAGATCTGCACAATTCTAGATACATTGAGAATCACTTTTCTTGTATTAGAGATCATGAAAAGCTTTAATCATGAGTTATCATTAACGCAAACAAGATAGCGTGGGTGTCTGAATTTAGATCGCGATATTGTAATCGTTAATTGTGTAGCTCTAATAGAAACATATTATGTACAATGAATGATTTTCACCTACGCTTGAACAGTTTACCGGTCTTCTCCTCAGAGGCCTGCGGTTCATTCAGATTTTACTGCAAAGTATAGCGGATGGGGAAAGAGATGAGGACAATCCCAATCTTATTCGCATCAATATCACTAAAGCCTATGACCAAGCCCTCAAGAGGTACCACGGCTGGATAGTCCAGAAGGTTTTCAAGGTGGGTGTTTTCAGTAGCTTTTGTGGGCATGGAAGGATGGGCATGTCGATTTGTTTTGCATGTTATGAGGCCTGGAAAAGTCTTGTAGGAAATTATCTTCTAAATATATTGTCTACTCTGTGTAAAATTGATTTTTTTAAAACCCAGTAATCACAAACAACTGGATAAGTCATTAGTATGTAAAAAGCTATGGCGCATTTTAAGACAGTGATTGCTTACCCGGCATTTTGTTTGGTTCTGCTGTAGGCTGCGTTATTTGCTGCACCATGCCGGTCAGATTTTCTTAAAGCTTTAACCAAGGATCAAGAAGTTGCAGAGGAGGATTGCTTAGCAAAAATTCATCAGTTCTTAATAAACTTCACTGCAACTGTAGATGCCATTTATGAAATGTATTCCATAATGAATGCTGAACTGGACTACTTAGTTTGAAACATACAAAAGGTCAGTTTCTAAAGCAATCTTTAATGCTGCACAGTTCATACACAGTATGACACACTTGAGAGGGCCTTAAAACTGTGAGGTCACAGACTCGATGACTGTCTAAGAGCTTTTGTCCTTGTTGCTGTATGACAGTAGTTGTTTATGCTTGTATGAATGCAGCATTAATTTTTGATTGTTTGGTGTGGGTGAGGATGCTTTATCTCCATTGTTCAACAAAATCAGCTTGTGTTGCCTGTAATCTTAAAATTAGAAACTGTAAGGTTTATGTTTTGCTGATAAGACCCAGTCGTGGTTCTTGAATGCAATAATGCATACTGTATGAACAGCACCTTTCTTTATTGTGTGCTCCCTTCCTTTCAGCTAAATGCTAGATTAAATGATTAGATTAAATCAGATTAAATGCGTGATTATTTTGTAATTCACTTTTTGTGTTTTTAATAATTAATTCATCATACAAACATTTTATAATACAATAGAGACTTACGCAAATTCTTGTTGTAAAGCATAAATATCTGGTGTATATTAAACATTGTTTGGTTGGAAAATGAAATTGTACCATTCCATTTGTATTGTCATGATGAAGGGGATAATTCATATATTTGGGCAACATGTATGTAATAGAACAGTAAGTTAAATTTAAAAGTTACAGATACAAAACTATAATGTGAGCAAAACCTGTATGTATTTTTAGCCAACAGAAAAACTATTACGTATGTAGCATAATCACAATTAGGACTGAACTGGAAAAACCTAGATTTATGCTAATTACAAAAACATTCTGATATTGCTCAACATTACAGTGCTACAAAGTACGCAAGTATCATGAATGATGATGTAGCGAATCAGCTCATGGGGAAATATGAATAATTAATCATAACTAGTTATAATTAATTATAAATATTTAGATCTGCTGTAGATATTTACTTGACCTCTCGGGGTCAACTGTCTGTCAATTCTAAGAACGTTAATTTCCTGGTTAAGGGAAATAACTTTCTTACTGTACAATACTACACCGAGCTTGTAGCATAAATCTGCATGATTAAGTGACTCCGGATATGAGCAAACAATGAACACGTCAAGTGTGATACAAGTAAGACTTTATTAACTACATAAACACTTAAACTAGTCTAACATACTACATAAACACTTAAACTTTGCAAACATATCTGTGAATGCCGGCCAAAATATTCACAGTTGGATTAGCTTAATATGTTTTAATATGTTTCTTGAGCAGCAAATCAGCATAGTATGATTTCTGAAGTTAGAATGATCACGTAACACTAAAGACTGGAGTATTGATACTGAAAATGTACCTTTGCATTACAGAAATAAATTAAATTTTAAAATACATTAAAGTAGAAAATAGTTATTTTAAATTGTTTAAAAAAAGCTTAAAGGGCTCATCGGATGAAAATCTGACTTTTTCCGTGTTTAAGTGTTATTATTGAGTGTCTGGTGCATCTACCAACTCAGAAAACGTGAAAGAGAAGAATCCAGTAAGTTTGGTTTTCTAAGCCTTTCTCTGCAAGCAGAAAATGAGCCGATCAGATTCCTCTCCCCTTCTGATGTAGGAAGGGGTTCTTATTATAATATTACCACCCACGGCCACTGACTGACACCGCCGTATTAGCAAAGACCTGAGTGATCCGCACACAATCTGCCATGTTGATCTTCATGCTAGAGCATTTAAAAGCAGCATTCAAGTTAGAAATGTCTTCTTATTAAAGCTATAGAAGTTATCCGGTCAAGAGCAGTGAGTGATTTTCTGTTTTTATTTTATTGTTTGGGTCATATAACAGAGTAGACAGCAGTAGGAAAATGTCCATAAGAGAGGATGATGGCTCAAGAATTTTAAGAGTTAAGATGGTTTAACTGATATTTTAAACCAGCGGTAAAATAAAGCATAGATAAGAGGATTGACTCCTGCGTTAGCATACAAAGTCCATGCAAGAAATGTCATTGTGGGAGAAGAGATTTCTTTAGCAGTAGTGACAGCTGTTATATACAATATATAGAATGGAATATAGAAAAGCAGATAAACTGTCATAATGATTCCTAATGTCAGAGCAGCTTTGCTCTCAGATTTCACTGAATCTTCCATTTCACATTTACCACTCTTCATCAGAGAGTTTATAATTTTCACTTGCTGATGTACAACGTAAAATATCCTCAAATATAAAGCTATGATCACGGTGCAAGGGATTAGAAAAGATATGAACAGATCCATGATCCTTAATGAATATGGAACGTTTAAAAAGCACCCTCCGTAGCACACATCGGCCTGTGCTGTGTCAAAATATCTGTAATTTATTGCAAAGGCAAAATTACCACTGAAGCAAGTAAACCAACAGATACAGATGCCCATTAAAGTTTTAGTCATTGTTATTTTGTGTGGGTACAGTAAAGGGTGACACACAGCCACATAACGATCAATAGCAATTAAAACTAAATTACCAAGAGACGCAGAAAGAAGCAGCCCGATGATGACTACAAAAAGTCCACAAAAAGTGTGTCCAAAGTACCAACATATCTCAATCAGTTTTATGGCCTCTATGGGTATCACAATAAGTCCAATAAACATGTCGAAAACAGCCAGAGAGAGAATAAGCAAGTTGGTTGGTGTGTGAAGCTTCTTGAAGTGAGAGATGGAGATGATCACCAGCAGGTTCAGAAACACAGTCCATGCTGACAACAATAATATTAACACATACATGATATTGTATTCATGACTAGAACGTTTTCCCTTGATACATGATGAGTTGATGTCAGGAAAGCAGTATTGAATCTCATGATCCTCTGTCTCATAGGCCATGTGTAAGTCTCCTCCTGTTAGGTGTTTGTTCTGCTCTCCTTACTGTCCCTTCAATTATACAGTGTCTGGATCAAACTGACCAAACCACTTTCCACCCACTCTGATGCTGAACAATGACATAATTTTCTTCCAATAGTTTCAACCTTGGCAGTCAAACAGCCGAGCTTAAGAGGCAAAACTGAAAGACATAAAACTGAATACCTTTGCTTTTACATGATGTATATCCAAACTAATAGAGTAGGTGTAAGAATGAAGTCCAAAAACACTGATGTATCAGCCAGTAAAGAAAAAACAAAAAAAATACTTGGAGCATTGTTAAGCCCTGAGGCCTGTCTTGAGAAGTAGGTTTAACTACCCGGTTAAGGTGAATTAGAGTTTGATCAAGCCATTTTTCAGTCTCATAAAGGTAGATTAGGTTAAATTGGTGTTCATAGCCATATTAACTAATGCTACATCTCTGACCAATCAATGACTGGGTGCACGGCCGTTTCTAGGCATAGGCGAGCTAGGCGGTCGCCTAGGGTGCCACCAGCTGAAGGGGCGCCAATGAGCGCACGTACTGGCACTTTTAGCAGGGTTGTGATCAAGGGTGGCATGGTCACCCTGAAATATGACTGCCGCCCCCACTGGATCCCCCAACATTATTGGGCTAGAGTACTGTCAATCTGACGATGCCTGTATGTCACTAGATCAGAGTGCTGTCAATTGCTGCCTGATTGTTGCATGCAAAGTTTGCATTTGGAGCGCTCAACAACGCCATTAGATCAGTGGGCTTTGGCAAGGTAACACTTTTTTTGCCATGCAATAAAGCTAAGTTCAAAGGCCAATTTAAAATATTGGTAAAGTAAATAAAGTGCACAAAATCAGTATTTTGTTTAGACAGTATTTGTGGCACTTTTGTGGCACATTTGTCCAAATATTTGTGGCAGATTTGTCCAAAAGGTGTGCGTTTTTTGCGCCAATGCATTGTTAAAGGATCAACGTGTCATGTAATATTCCCATATAAACTTTTAACATCCAATTAAAAAATATTTGCATAGTAAAATTAGCTAATTCACTAGATCAATACATCCTTTATTAGACCGCTTGGTCGAGTTAAATGCATTCTTACGGAGGTGTCGAAATGCTGAATCAATTCATTCACTTCCAACAGCGCTTAATGGGAGCAGCGTCATAGAGGGCAGAGCGTCACGTTATTTAAAGGAGACGTTAACGCGTTAACGAGTAGCAAATGATTAAGTAGCTACATTGGTTACTTTTATGCCACTGATAAAGCTTGTATATGTAGTTTGGGGTAACAAAGGGGTTTTATAGGTTTGACTGAAATAATAATGCAATAACTGACACTTTAAATCAATGTTTCAAGAAACAATAACAAAAAAATTGAACAAAAAACAGATAAAGCCAAAAAAGTAGCTATTGATAATATCTAAACAATATGTAGTAGCATAGTATATAGTATCCAAATCCAAATGTAATAAAATTTATTTATGTGTGATTTATGTGAAATTGTCTAGAAACGGCCCTGACTGGGTGTATCACTGTTTTAAAACACATGAAGCGTTAATGATGTCTACCTAATGGATAATGTGAGCAATAATAATTCAACAACTCAGAATATATGGATTATTCTCTCAAAAAATAAAATTCAGTCAACGTTTACCCACCCTCATGTTTTTCTAAAGCCATACGACCTTTTTCTTTTTCAAAACACAAAAGGAGAATAAAAAAAAAACATGTCCTGCTCATGCTTGCCCATATTATGGCAATGAATGGAGCCTAGCTTCAAGCTTTAAAAAGTTGCATTAGTATCTTAAAATTATCCAATTCAAAACTAACTCTGTATGTTCTACAACTTGCTTCATGAAGCAGGCCTCTGTACTGCTGTATTAGAGATTTACTGCAGCCAGTAGCCACTGACTGTGCAGTGAACGAAAGTGATTTAATTGGGCCACAGTCACTGACATACAGTCATGTGAAGCTATGGCTGTTGTTGGTGCATCAGTGGCCATGAATACAATACATATAAACAAAATCAGATATGTATCAACTGACAAGTTGTTCATGGATAGTGGTTGATATTTGTCCTAACCTTATACATGTTAATGAAGAATGGCTGATCATGCTTCAAATCAGAAGCTATGTATGTATATTGTAGCATGCATGTACACACACACACACACACACACAAACAAACACAAACACTCTTGACTCCACAGAATGAGTCTTTATTCTCAGTGCAACCACTAGAGGCTGAATTGTTGGGACATTGTATGCATTTATGACTTCAAATTCAGATGTTTATGCTGATAACACAGACTATCAGGATTTATGTGCAATGCAGCTAAAACTACCACTATAAAATGACAGTGTATGCAGTCATTGTTTTCCTATCTGTATTATTATTGGACCAGTAAGCAAAGAAATTACATATTTTTTTCATTTTGATAAAGAAACATTGTTGGCATGGAAAACAACTAAACATTTTGTCACTTCATTTTACTTAGTGTTAAAAGAAGTTTGCTTAGCTTGCTTAGTTCCAGTTTAATTACAATTGATGTTTGGTAAAAAATATTGACCAGAGAGGATGCTGGCTGATTTAAGATGTGTTTAACTGTATTTTTAAACCAAGACTAAAGTAAAGCATAGTGTGGGACAATGGGTCTTTGCAGGCCCGATGTCAGGCAAAAAATGGGTTCACACACAAAAAAACAAACAAAAAAAACTGAATTTATATGCACAGCCCATGTTAAAAGATTTATGATTGTGGAAGAGATTATTGATATAGAACAGCTACAGTAAAGAATCCAGCAAAACTGTGACAATGATTCCTAATGTCAGAGCAGCTTTGCTCTCAGATTTTCTCCTCACTGAACTATTCATTAGACATTTACCACTCTTTATCAGGGTATTTATAAAAGCAAAAAAAAAACACATACTTGGAATTTGTGCTCTGCATTTAACCCATTCAAGTGCACACACACACACACACGGAGCAGTGGGCAGCCATATTGCTGCGGCGCCTGGGGAGCAGCTGGGAGTTCGGTGCCTTGCTCAAGGGTCTCACCTCAGTCGTGGTATTGAAGGTGGAAGAGAGCACTGGTCATTCACTCCCCCCACCGACAATTCCTGTCGGACCTGAAACTTGAACCAACAACCTTCAGGTTACAAATCTGACTCTCTAACCAATAGGCCACAACTGCCCCCAATAATTTATAACTTTGACTTGCGGATGTACAACATAGAAAATCCTCAAATACAAAGTTATTATCCGATTACAAAGAGACACAAAGGACAAAATCAGATCAGTGACTCTCCAGGCAAAACTTATTGGAGCACTTCTAATCCAGAGGTATTACCTAATTTTCACATTCATCATCGTCTTCAATTTGTAAAAATAGTTAATAACTTTTACAGCATTTATTAAATTTGATTAATATTAATTCATAATTACTGTATATACAAATGCATTTTAACATTTTGCATAATTATTAATAAACAATAGTACAAAATAAACATTATTATATGTAATATTATATCAACCTTGTAAAAATATAGTACAATAATTCATGATACCCAAGGCAAAAACGTTAATGAACTAATGTTAATGAACCTTATTGTAAAGTGCTTTTGATTTTACAAACAACTCTCAGAAAATGAGAAACAGCATTTCTCCATGATATCTATTTAATCTAAAGTGACCTGCATATTAAAGCACAATAGTGATTAATAAAAGAATAGATTAATATTATTTCAGTACTTCGACAGTTAAATGTAAATAAATGGCGTTGCAAATGAAAACACTAAAAACACTTTAGGCATCTCACAGGGTCTCATGGGTGGAAATGTCTCTTTCTCACACACACACACACACACACACACACACACAGTTCTTTTGTTGTTTTATCAAGAAATGGATTACAGTAAACTCTGAAGCCCTGATGATGGACATCATGGCTTGTTATTTATGAAATGTGCACCTGAGGGTGCTGTTAACACCTGTGCTACATGCAGAGATGATCCTCAAGTGCCTCAATCATTCATTAAAAGTGCAAAACAAACACAGGTAAACACACACATCAGTCTGATGCAACAGCTACTGCTTTCTACTGCAGAGTCAGTGATTTAAGAATTATTTAAGAATTTAATACAGAAATTAATCAATCCACTAAAATAATCCAAAAGTGGTATACAAAATTAAATAATAAATAAAATCAAAAGTGTGTAACCTTTCAAAACTACCTAGGTAATTATGGTTTGCATAATTTTAGCATTTGTTTGGATCTTTAAAAAATCGGCCTACATGAGGTGATGTTGAGCAGTTACAGTATGGCATTAATTTATTCACATCAGTTTATATGAAACAATAAACATTACTTCAACTTACTTGAAAAGTTACAATAAAATATGTAATATTGTTATTGTTAGGCTTTACCTTTACCTGCCTTTTGGAAGAATCTGAAGTTACTTTGTTTCAGATGTTTTAATCTGAGATGTGCTGTAAGCCATTTTAATTATTCACTTTGTGATGAACCACCGTGATAATACATTTGACACTTATACATAGTTCTAAATGACTGTCCTCTTTTTGTCATTGTGTTTTTGATTTATATCAACACAGATTCAGCATGACTAATAAAAGATTTGTGATTCTTGCTCAATTTTCCTAATAAGCTAATGCAACACAACTGAACATTTTGTCACTTAAACTTACTGTGTGAAAATAAGTTTGCTTAATTGTTCAATTCTGACAAAACCGGAATTTGAACAGAGTATAATTATAAAGCAATGATACTCAATGAAACAAACTACATAATATTAAAATACATGTAGTGTAAATTAGAACTATTATGATTATTTACCTTTATAACAATTGCAGTTTTTGTGAAATTGTTCTCAGAATGATGGCTTTATCAGTTTAATTACAATTAATGTTCTGAAAAAATATTGACCAGAGAGGATGCTGGCTGAAATATTTTCAGAGTTAAGATGTGTTTAAC